CCCCCCCCCCCCCGTACTTGTTTTGGAGATGGCTACTCAAATCTTCTGCGGGGTTTTCAGCTGGGTTCTTGTTGTTGTTGAGCTGTGAGAGTTCTGAGGCCAGCACTTTATCAGTTTGTAGGTACCTTCTCCCACCTACTGGGCTGTCTCCTCCCTCCTGTGATAATGCCCTTTGGCAAACACAACTTGGAATGTAACCCTCTCACCAGCCCGGAGATTCTTTTCAGAATCCTTCTGGTAGCTCTCTCCCACTTCTCCTTCCAGGGGAATTTCAGACGCACTCTGCCAGGCTTCAGGACACCACTCGCCCACACCCACTGCTCCCGGGTCACGTCTGCCAAAAATCTCCCCCAAACAAAACCAAAGCACCCTCTGAGCTCAGACCTGGATTACACTGAACTGAGAGTGATCTAATGGGAACTGACCTCTTCACAAGGCTTACTATTCCTAGGAATAAAGCCTGTCTTCACATTTATTTCAATCATATGTTCCTCAATAAAAAAATTATAGTTTTCGTTATGTAGATGCTTAAAAATATTAAACTTTACTTTTTGGTATGGAGTTTATTTTTAAAGGAAAATTTTATACTATATTAAACATGTGGTTTACTTAAAACATTTGTTTCGGGAACTTACTAACCACACTTATTAAAAGGCAATCTAACCTTATTGGCCACTAAAAAATACGGCAACTACCTCTGACCTCTCCATGATGGAACGTGCTCGACAAGTCCTCTCTCCAGAAAGCAGTGAGCTGCAGCAAATGGACTAAGAACTCGAGCGCTCAGAAGGGCAGGCGCCCGAAACGCGGCTTCCCTGCAGCTGATGGACGGGGCTCACTCGACGGGAGCGGGAGATCGGGGCGCCGTGGCTCCACTGGCGGAGGCCCCAGGCCTGCTTGGAGCGAGCCGCAGACGGCGCACAGTGGATGGGGAAGTGTCTGTGGAGGTGAGACGGCCAGGGAGGCTGCCGGAGCTCTCCCTGCGCCCCAGCTCAGGCCGGCTGCAGGGCAGAGACCATAACCAGTCCTCGAACCTGAACGTCCTGGCTCCAAGAGCCCGCACCCACTCGCAGGGTGGAAACACAGACTGAAAAGGGGCCGGAAGGGTGAGCGTGCTCCCAGCCCCGCACACGTCTCACAGCAGGGCTGCGTGCTGCCTCCTGCAGCGGGGCAGTGGGCTTCAGAGGTTTGGCCTAGGGCAGGCGGGGAGAAAGGGAGGACCTCAGCACAAGCGGTCACACGCGTTCTCTGATGGCTGTGGGGGGTCTCGTCAGCACCACACACAGCTTCACTTTGATAGTAGCTAACAGGAAGAAATGGTTCTAGGGAGTAGTGGATCAATGAAGTCTACATGACTGATTTTTTTTTGGTAGTGGGTATTGAACCCAGAGCCCTTCCACCGAGCTACGTCCCCAGCCCTTTTTAAAATTTTGAGACAGAGTCTCGCTAAATTGCCCATGATGGGCTTAAATTTGTGATCTTCCTGCCTCAGCCTCAGAGTAGTGGGATTATAGGCATGTGCCAACAACACCCAGCTATGTTAATATCCCTAAACACAGTATATAAAAGCATATACAAAATAAAAAACCTAAGAAGATTCCCAAAGAACAGAAATAAAATTTATAAAATAAGAAATATAAGAGTTCTAGATAACTGTCATAAGAGTATATCTGTAATATGAAATCAACTCATACAGATTAAAAACAAAACAGAGAGATTCATGCTGGAGAGACTGCTGAGAAATGGGCATGCTCATTCTGTCCTGGACTGTAAATTATTATAACTTTTCCAGAAAGTAATTTGGTAACAAATATCAAAAGCCTTAAAAATATTCATGCCTTTTAAATTTCACTTTCACAACTCTATCTTAAAAATACATGTTTAGATATTTATTATCACAGGATAGTTCTAACAGTAAATGGTGGGAAATAATCTTAACCAACAAAAGGCCAATTAACCAATAAAAGCTTAATTATGTTGTACCCACACGACTAGATTTTTTTTCACTCACTAAAAAACACTACCTGAGCACCTGTGCATGCCTGCTACTTCACCCACCATGCAGATACCATGAGTGCAAAAAGTCAGCCTTCCCCAAATGCGCCTGGCTGTGGGTGATCCATAGAGAGCTCTTGGCTTACCGGGGGCGCGGGCCACACCAGACAGCCCAACAGTGAGATTCAGGGCGGGTTTTGGGCCAAAGGGAGACTGCCGCCAGGCACACGGGCGTTTGTGCGGCTGACCCCGGGCAAAGCTCTGGACAGCGAGGTCTCCGGGGGCCTCCCTAGCTGCCCCTCCTCTGTGTTCACTGTTAGACAGCGGTGCCTGCGACTAGCTCTGTCATGGCTCCACCCGGAGGAGACACCTGCAACCTCTGGCTGTGGCACCTTCCAGAATCCTGCTCCGTGCGCCTCTTCCTTTGCAGAGTGGACACATGATTTTAATGTCTCCACTCACTGCAATAAGCTGTGACCGTGAACATAACTGCAGTGAGTCAGACGGGTGACACTGTTCACAGGTACTGTGTGAGTCTGTACAGCTGGGGACATGGAGGGTACTCCAAGCACACACAGGGTGTGTCCCTCCTGGAAGAGGAAATAGTTAAGGACTCGGATGTGAGACAGAGAGTCAGTATTAAGGTTACTTGAAGGGAACAAAATATAAGAAGGAACTGTGATTTTACTCATTTGCAAATTTTGAAGCAGACATCCTTGGCTTTTTTTTTGACCGGGACTTGAACTCAGGACCTGTGCTTGCCAGGCAGGCACTTACGCCACTGAGTTAAATCCCCGGCAGACATCCTTGAAAAGATGAAATGATTTGGAAATTTAAGAAAGTCTTGGGCTGGGGATGTACTCAATGGCACAATGCCTACCTGGGAAACACGAGGTCCTGAGTTCAATTCCCAGTACAAAAAAATGGAGATCTCATAGAAAGATTGGGTAAAATTATAATTAATCAAAAGACTGTCAATTGAAGATGTACTGATATGCGTAACTCATAGGCATGAAAATCACTTCATACTGTGAGAAAATACACTGGGCAGTATTTATCAGTCTGTCAATGACCTTGTTAACATTCATGCCTTTTGATCCAGCCACAGAATTTCTGGGACGTCATCCCTCAGACACACTCACACATGAAGCGTGACCCTGTATCTTCAGTTGCACTGCTGTGGCTCCTTGATGTCCTCAACTAATTCAAAACATTTTCCTGTCATGGAGACTTTGACTTAGGGGAGGAGTCAGAGGTAACGCGGTGCCAGGCCCAGCGAGGAGGAGGGTGAGGACGCAGCGCTGTGTTCTCCCAGGCCCGCCTTCTCACCGCGCGGCACACAGCGGCAACATTCACTGCGTTTCCCAACACACCTTGTAAAGACGCTCAGGAAAGAGGAGTTCGGAACTGCTTCATAAAATGGTAAGAAAGATGAGGTACATGTGTTTACACTGAGAGGGAGTATCCTGAGAGGGATTAACGGCAATGTGCCTTTTACTGTAATAAATTTTTAAAAAATTAAACATTTACCTTATATTTTGATCACTCTTTATAAAATGGTGTAAATACAAGATTATTCATTGCAACATTACTTCTAATATGAAAAGACGGAGATAGGGCCGGGCACAGTGGTGCACGCCTGTGATCCCACACTCGAGAGGCTGCGGCAGGAGGACTGCCCCAAGGGTGAGGCCAGCCTGGGCTCACTGTGAGTTCTAGGCCTGACCCTGTCTCAAACACCTCCCCAAAAGATAGCTGCGTGTCAAACGGCTTTCAAAAGGGGAATGCGTACATGAGCTGCTATTTCCACAAGCAAAGCAATATGGAACCATGAAACAGCACAAGATACTCTGATCTGTTAAAGGAAAGAAGACAAACGGAGCAGTGCGGAGCATGCTGCCGAACAGAGATGTGCTCATTACAACCAGCTTGCACACTCACGAGCTCCGTCTCGGGAAGTACGCAGCACACGGACAGCATGCTCTGCGCTGGGAGGAGGATGGGGGGACGGAGGGGAGCGTTTTGCTCTGTCTGCCTACTCTTGTGCGCCCCGAGGCAGAACCGTGTGAATGCGGTACATCTATTTAAAATACGGCGTTATTAACAAAGCTGACCAACTATCTGGGGGTACTTAGTCGAACAAACATAACAGAGCAGATACTGAAAATGTTTGGAAACACTTAGTTTATGTATACATACCTCACATTCTGTTTCACTAGTTTTCACCATCTTGAAGTCATCTTGTTTACTTATGATCTTCTGTAGCTAAAAAGATTGCAAGCACAAATTTATATGTGTCTACTGAAATTTTCAAAATAACCTGAAAACAGATGCTAAGATGTCATTATAAAATACGTACTAACTTGTCACATATTACACATTTTCTGCATAGCTCTGATTATCCTTTTTTCTTAGGCTATATAAGAATCAAAAGAGAAAACAGATAAAAAAGTACTAACACTATTTACAATTTTTCTCCAAGGAAAGCTAGTTTACTTAATACATGTATGTTCTAAAAGCAGTAGTCTAAAGAAAGTCTTAGTGATCCTATCCTTTTAAGAGAATTTTTATTGATAATTTACTTTTCATATCACTGATAATGGTCACATTCTAAGTATAGTATATAGTACATACAAAGCTATTTATATTATATACATGTTCTTTCTCCTTTTATGCATTTATAATACATTAAAATAATTTTAAGACTTACATTTCTATTAATTATAAAATTCATGCTAGTACTCTGAAACTTTTTTTTTTGTCTTTTTGAGACAGGGTCTTGCTATGCAGTTCAGGCTTGCCTTGAGCTCACTTTGTAGCCCAGGCTGGCCTAGAACTCGCAGCGATCCCCCTGCCTCAGCCTCCCGAGTGCTGGGATTACAGGCATGTGCCACCACGCCCGGCTGTACTCTGAAATTGAATACATTAAAAAACCTACCTACCTTTCAGAGTCATCTGTACCAATCTTCATATGGAAAGCAAATTAAAAAAAAATTTAAAAATAAAAATAATCAGATGTAGACAAAAGTCTCAAAATATGAATTTAAATCAGTCAGGAGGTAAACCTTCCCTTATTTTCCCTGTAGGTGATCTCTTTGCTAAAAGACTGAAAACTGCTATAATTACAACCAAATTGTCCATCACAAACTCAGGCACTTTTCCTAAGTTAGGAAAATGGCGCATGTCTAGGCCGCTAAATCCCGCGCCCAGTGTTCACTACTCTTCCCCGCTTAGTTTAGGGGAACGTGGAGAAGCTTTCCATTTGTTGTGCCTTTTGTTTTTTAAAATCGACAGCCAAACGACACACAGTCCCAAGCTCAACACCCAAACGTGTTTCCCGTTTTTCACTGCCCCGCCTCTCTGTCAGTCTTACTATGTAGATTTCAAGCACCTCGAGAAGAGAGTTCTGTAATAAAGCACTCTACAATCATTACTCAGCTTCAGTGATTATTGGTACCTTCGTCACTGTCGGTTCAAGTATCACTTCTACCCTGTTTCCCCATTATTATTTACAGCTCTAGAGAAAAAGTGCCACATTCAGATTTATCTTAGCCATGCCATTTTGATCATTTCTTTGTCTCTTTTTCTCCATCCTTTCTCCCCGCCTCCCCATGGAAGCAGTTCTGGCTTTTCTCACTAGTTCAGTTACTTTAGAAATTCAAATAGATGAACTCATACACGTACATTCCCGCGCTTGCCTTCTTCGTTCAGCGTGGAGGCCCCGAGATGCGCACGCTGTCTGCGCATCAGTTGCTCCTATTTATTGTGAGGCTCTATTACACTCTGACTGTCCCGCCTTTTGTTTACTTGTTCCTAGTCCTAAACTGCAGTGTGACGGTACCTTTATTCTTTCTGTGCTGGTGCTGCGGACTGAAGCCAGGGCTTCATGCGTGCTAGGCAAGCTCTCCCCGGCCTCCCGGTACACTTCTGCAAGTCGCAGACTGAGGAAATTCTACTTGGTTGAGTTTTATCAAGAAAGGGTTTATTTTGTTAAATGCTTGGAGTGGGCTGCCACGATCATAATGGTTTTTCCTTTATTATGGTAATAAGATGGATCACACACGGACTGGCCTTTCAACCACCAAGACCATTTAGCATTCTTTGGGTAAATCTCACTCGGATGTAAGTAGTGGTACTGAGCGTTGAGCCCAAGGGCACTTGGCCGCTAAGCTAGATCACTAGTTTTTTTTTAATTTTAAAATTGAGTCTTGCTAACCTGCCCAGCTGGCCTTGAACTTGTGATCCTCCTGTGTCTGCCTCCCAAGTAGCTGGGATTACAGGTGTGTGCCACACTCCTGGCTATCATGTATTACTCAGTTCCATGCTGGATTTGAGTTGCACTATCTGGTTAGGTATTTTGTGCTTTTGTTCAAGAGGAAACTGGTTTCTGATTTATTGTACTTGTTAGGTCTTTTGTCAGGTTTTAGTTGTTAGGGCTAAACTGGTCTCACAACGTGAGAAGGAACTACTCTTTGTCTTGTATTTTCTGAAAAGGTTTATTGTCGGGATCTGTCTTAAATGCTCAGTAGATTTTACCAGGACAGCCACCCGGATTCCCACATTTCTTCCCGGGAAGGTTTCAGGCAGTAAGTCTGATTTCTCTGACAAAGACTGTGCAGACTTAGATCGCACCTCTTGTTACGTTTGTTTTTTAAGATATGTCCGTTTCATCCAAGCTATCAAACTTACAGGCACGTATGAACTGGCTGTCCTTTTCACATTATTTTGTTTTTATCTTTCGTGATCTGTAGGCTCTGTGACAGTATCTCCTGATTCCTAATATTGATAATTTGGGTCCTCCTCTCCTGTTTTTGCTAGATCATGTTGGAAGGTTTGTCAAAATTTATTGTGTAAATAACTAAAATTTTAAAATAAAAAATTAAAAATAAGCGTTATCCAGAATCCTCATTACAATTGTTATAAAGTCCAGAACTTATCTTTCTTTGTATAAGACATTTAATTTAGTTATAATCTTCATCATCTTACTGTCAAAACATTGTAAACAAAACAAGAAAGTACGAAGAGGATGAGTTCATCCAAGAAGGAAATTCTCAGGCGCTCCTTCCCCGCTCGGGTGGTGTTTGGCGCAGGACGGGCCTGTCCTAAAGTCTGCGCAAAGGGTTTTACAGCAGATGATCTTCCTAAGTCAAGTTTCACCCAAAACACTCCAGTTTGGACCCTGGAGAAGGCTGAGCAGGTCCTGGTGTGCTGTGAAGATCACAGCGCTGCGTGTGCAGTTCTGTCGTAACAGTCCCACCCGGAAGAGCCTAAGCATATGCATTTCTGCCTAGAGCCCTAGGCCAAACGTTTCCTGTCTCCTTAGCTACCTTGTAAGCTGGCTGTGACACTGACCCATGACGACAAGGTACTGAGTAGTTACGTGGCCACAGCACTCTCCTAGGCCAGGGAAAACAAGCTGGAAGGGGAGCTCTGGCCCCGTGTCTGCATTTGCGCTCTAGGGGGCTGGCGATCACAAAGCAAGGGCCTTCAGATAATGCCGTGTCTGTGGCAGCAGGCAGCCGGGGACAGGGCTGGGAAAGGCCGCTGCGGAGGGCACCGCTACACAGGCTTGCTCCAGGGAGGTCTCTCTGAGGAGACAGCCCTGGCGAGACCCAGTGACCGAAAGCCACCGGGGGTGGGAAGCTCCTTCCGGGCAGAGGAGTGAGGTTTCCGGTGCACGCAGGGCACTGTGTTAGAAAAGCAGGAAGAAGGCACCTACTGGCCAGATGCAGACCCTCCACTACTTAGGAAAGTGTGCCAACTTTACTGCGCATTCATTTGGATTGGTATTTTCATTATGCGGCCGACAATGGTGCACGGAGAGTCAATGTAACTTCTTTTTGCTTTCACGGTGATAACTTAGAAACTCTTAAACAATACTGTTGCAAAGCCAGGAAGAATTCTACTGAAGGCTTACATAGTTATGTAGTAGTAACTCCAGCAGGTATATTTAGTATGATAAAATTATAGCACTATATGCGGAGCACAGTCCTTCCTGCCAGTATGAAAGCGATGTGAAATGAAAGGACCACCTAAGGAGCAATTTATACTACGAAACAGAATTGTCATTAATCTGCTGTTTAGAGAAGCTGCATTAAAACCCTGGCACGTATCCCACATAAGCAGATGCACCATCTATCAAGGTAGAGATGAAATGAATTAACTATTACTGGCTTTGATCACTGTCTGTGTTGTTTATTATTACCTGACAGAGAACAACTCAGGCAGACAGCCGCTATTTTATGAGTGCTTGCGATAAAAAGTAAGCAGTACCCTCACTAACACAGTTTTCAGATCTGGACGTTAACAAAACATACATGCATAACAAAATGCAAAGGTAACTAAGACAAATTACACTTTAGGACATTGTCACAAGATTTTAATTAATACACTTTCTCATTACTTCTGTCTTTGATGTTCAAATCATTTTGTTATGTTTATGTTTATATTGTTGGTATTAAAGCAATTCTCATTACTTTTTTGGCACTTACAGTAAGGAGAGCAACCTGTAAAACTTATTGGGGGAACATTGAGATAAGCTACGAAAAACTCCGCTCTTTAAATACACCTTTCTGATTTGAAAAGAACCGTTTGGTTCTTTCAGGCCATTTCAAATATAAGCTGTTGCACATTTGGGTTTACTAACAGAAATGCAGTTTTCTTCTCAAGGCTTTTTTTTAAATCTTTTTTTTTTTGTTTTGTTTTCTGTTTTTGAGACCAAGTCTCGCTATGTAGTTCAAGCTAGCCTTGAACTTGCAGTAATTCTCCTGCCTCAGCCCCCTGGGTGCTGGGATGACAGACATGTGCCACTTATGCCTGGCTTTTCAATGCTTTTTTTTAAACTGAGGTGTGTATGACACATCGTGGATTATCAAGTTTGTAGTGTCCATGATTAGCACAAAGACTCTTTTTTTTTTTTTTGAGACAGGGTCTTACTAGGTAGTTTGGGCATTCAGGCTGACCATGAACTTACTTGTAGCCACGCTGGTCTTGAACTTGTGCTGATACTCCTACCTCAGCCTCCTGAATGCTGAGATTACAGGTGTACAGAACCATGCCTGGCCTAAGAATCTTTTAAAGACCTATAAGGTTGTCTTTTCTAACCTCACACTTAAAACACATCAGTCAAATATCCCGTCACATTCATTTCTTAACTCATGGGCTAATTATCCAAGAATTTTCTAAATATGTAAGGAGAAACCAGTATTCAGAAACTGTTCCACAACGTGCACATGAAGCTGCTAAATGAAAACTGTACTTGGAAC